CGATTTGTGCTGAAAAATATATCGAATGCTTTACGCCAAAATACTGATCGTTAGATAGTCCACATTTCTTGACTATAGATAATCCACATTTATGGCAAATTCCGTAGGTATCAATTTTGCATATTATTAGCTAGGCGCATATAATTATTTAGGCTTCATACTAGCTTTATAAAATATGCGAAAAATGTAATACATGAATACCATGAGACTTACTTTAAAACCTCTATACAGACATTACCACTAAGTAAACACAGAAAACGGGGTTTGAAAATGCATCAAGTTCTTTGTTGTTAAGCTGGTGAAAGAGGACAGTCATTTTCGCCTTCCGCTTTTCCTCTTATGTTTCACTAACATCTGTTCTTTCTTTCTTTTTTTTAGAACTCCTGAGCCCAACCAGCCGTAGTTCTGAGTCAGCCCCTGACACACTGTGTACTCGTTATACTTTGGTGCTTGTGCATAGTTCCCCCTCCTCCCTTTGAAGCCGTCCAATCATAGGCTTTAATCTGTCTTATGATGTCATTAGAGGAAGACTCTGAAATGGGGTCTTTAAAGGCTAAGACCAAGCGCTCTCGCCACAGAGTTGACGCTGGTGAGCCACGAAACAACTACGCAGCGATCCCCAATTTCAGCTGCCGCCAGAGTCCGACGTATCAGAATGGGTATAGCATGTCGTCACCGACTCTAACTGTCGGAGATTGTGACAACATGGTGGTGATTAACGCGTCCATCCAACATTCTAATGATGTGAACACTGGATCAGCAATGGCCGTAGTGTCCAACCTAGAAATTCAGTCCAAACCTAGTAAACGTCTTGAGAGTTCAACCAGTAATGATAGTTTTGCTGTTGGTACAGCGACCGAAACTACAGAGTTACTCAGGGGAATACTTGAGAATGGGAAACCGGAGTTAGTAAACGGTGAGAACAACACGTCTGAGTCCAAACGGGCGCGAGTTGAACACATCGTGTCAGGTATGCTCCAAGGCCCAAGTAACGCAAGGCAAATCGTTAATGGATGCAAAAAGCGAAAGTTGTACCAGCCTCAGCAACACGGCAATGATCTGGATGAGGAAGAAGATGAAGACTTAGATGAAGAGAACGATTCTCCTACTAAAGTGAGACGCCAGGAAGAAGTAAGCTTGAAAGTCCAGATTCGCAAGATGCAACAACAGTTGGCAGTGATGCAGGAGCTTATTACCGGCAAAGCCGAAGTCGTTCCTCCTTGTGGTTTACCCGAGATTTACCGTGGCTCTTCTGGTCTTAAAGAGAACGTGAATCCGGTCCAGAGTCAGGAGCTGGATACGAGAAGTAGACAATCATGTATCGTCAAGTCCAGTAGCCAGGTGTCTCTTGCCGATGTTGATGGACTGGTGGAGGCGCTCAAAACAGAGATTGCTGCTAATATTCCTCAGATCATAGACTCCTTTGTCTCAAAATACAAGCAGGGTCATGGACCACATAAACTTGTCGATATTGAGCCTTCCAAAGATATTAGTCTTCTCTCGCACATGCTCGATAGAAAATCCCCCCGCACCAAGATCGTCGATCGAGGGATTAAAATAAACGGTCAGACGCCACTTACCTCACGTAGTAGTCCTTACCCGACTGACCTTAGTCCTCGCACTTATACTTTTTACCCCCCTGTGTACAAATCTCCATCGTTTAGCTCAACTCCTCCTTCACAACATAGCCCAGAAGGCATGACTCACTGCTATCTTCCACCACCTTCTACTTCAGTAGGATATGAAGGGACAGGTCATGCTGAAGGAAATGAACAAACAGAGCCAATGCCTTTAGTTGTCACTCCTAAGAAGAAACGACACAAGGTGACGGACACCCGCTTGATCCCTCGGCTGGGATATTCAACAAGCAGTAACGGGATAGACCAAACCTTCAGCCAGCAGCCCCCACCACTAGTACCAGTTTCCCTGCCTACTTCGGTAGCTGTCCTCAACCCAAGTCTCCATCATTCTCAACTACTTTACGAGCAGGCCCGTTTCACGCAATACCTCACCGACTCTCAAAGCGACGATTCGTCCTTCCGCACTTCCACAGCCGTCCACCCATCGTTGGAAGAATCTGGAAGTTCCCCTGACGTTTCGCGTCAGCAGGATAATGGCATGGGGTCAGAATGCAGCGATAACCAGAGTTTAGATTCTGGACTGGCCATAATATCCTTTTATTTATATTTCTACATGTATTTAATTTTTTTAGAGGTAAAAATAAAGAACTAAGTGTCGCAGCATAACGATGTATAACAGTCAAATCAACATCAAATCTATTTATTTCCAGAATATATTAATAGCTAAAAATGTTTTAGTTTAATATCTCGACACTTAAGATGCTCGGTGTCATGTGCTTGAATTACAAATATTGTACTGATCAAAGACAGAGGGAGTGTAGTTTTTAATTAACGTGTCTAGTAAAGATGCTGCTCCATTTTCATTTTTGTTATTTTAGAAGCAGATTTTTACTTCTCCAAGGTACGGGTGTAACATTACTTGTTGTAAACAAAGTATGTGTCACTATTTTTAATCGGTTTAGTTAGTTAACGTAAGCCATTGTATAGCTATTGCTATTGGCATGCGTACATACGTACAATTTCTCTTACTACAATTTAATAAAATACAATTGTACACATACTGTAGGCCTTTAAAGTTGAGTCCCACAAAAGATTACACCCAGTGCTCTATCTTCTTTAACTACACCTTACACCAGCACCCTGACTCCCATGCACTTGAGAAAAGCCAAATTGATGTTTTTCTTCGTCCGCTATCCCAGCTCCGCCATCATTAAAATTTATTTCCCGGACATTCGTTTCAACAAGAATAACACAGCCCAGCTGGTCAAGTGGTTCTCTAATTTTCGGTAAGTGATGTGATCAGAAATATAGTTATAAAATCAGACGTGTCTAGTAATTAGTTCTCAACCACTCATTGGTCATTCTAGATAAGCTGTTTTTTGGCATATATATCCTTGTCAAATGAAAAGTTATTGTTATTACTTTTGTTCTACAAAATAATATTTCACTAAAGATATCCACTGGTCATTCCCTTATGACTTATTTTGTTAAACATATTTGAAAATGTTCAATGAATAAAAAATTAATCTATTAAATATAATAGAAATAGCTAAAGTTCCAACGTTAGATGAATGCGTTTTAAATGTTGTATATCGACAAGGAAAAGAAACTGTTTCTAACTATTCCTTTAATTATAATCACTAGTTTTGTCCACTGCGGTTATTGTGAAAAGAAACTGTTTCTAACTATTCCTTTAATTATAATCACTAGTTTTATCCACTGCGGTTATTGTGAAAAGAAACTGTTTCTAACTATTCCTTTAATTATGATCACTAGTTTTATCCACTGCGGTTATTGTGAAAAGAAACTGTTTCTAACTATTCCTTTAATTATAATCACTAGTTTTATCCACTGCGGTTATTGTGAAATATAATATAATGTTATTTACTTTAATTTCACGTAAGGTGATAATAATTGTGCCGAATGGAACGTTGAAACAATTCTGATGCCCTTTATATAATATATATATGTGTGTTTCTTTTATGTTTTATTGGCATTGCTTCCATAATACATTTTGTAAGTATATATTGATAAAAACTGTAAAGGTAACTTTATTTGATACAATAATTCTGAAGAAAGTTGTGAATTTCTTTCTTTAACCACGTGTATGAGATACTTTTGAGAGCAAGCCTATTTTAGGACCCAGGGGCGCTCATTCAGTTCTATGTTCACATTAAATTCATACGATATGAGGGAAGTAGAAGGTGTATTCTTTCACATTGAATATATTTTTTGATATTGTTCCCAAACGGTCAAAATATTCATCAAACCCTCACAGGAAGCAACCTCCACGACGCGGTAAAAATGATATCCAAACTATGTAATACTAAGTAGACGCCTTTTCACTTCTGTCGGTCGAGCGTGTGGAGGGGCTGAACCAGGAGACCGGACATATAGTTACCTTTGTCCGGCAGGTGCCGCGCAGGAAGTCTCTTGTCTTTACTCTTGTTTACATTATTTGATGTATGGCGTTCTTTCTTAATGCCTTGCACATGTGAAAGCTTAAGAGTGAATTTCAGTTAGCGAAAATATTCTGTTAAGTACATTATTTTTAGTAGCCTCATATGAGGTTAAAACAACTGGTCTTGCTTACGAGAGTAATTTGATTTACCATTTTTAGACTTAGTTACGTATTAGTACTAGTAAGTAGTAAGTAATTAATGAAAATCAATGTAGAATTTAATAAGTTAATAAAGCTAGGACAATTTACTGTTGAATTCCATAATGTATGATATATTTGCATACTATACGGTGTGAATATTGTAGAGAAAAGGCTGCTCTATAGTACTATTAAAGAAACGCGATTGTGAATTCGAGAAATACTCGGGGAAGTGAATATCTTTTTTACTGAATGATTGTTTGTTTCTTTATAGTTTAAGCACACAGCTACACAATGGCCTATCTGTGCTCTGCCCATCACGGGTATCGAAACGTGGTTTCTAACGTTGTAAGTCATCAGACTGTGTTACTGAATGAAGATAGTAGTCTTAAAACATGTATGTTTTTTCATTTCCTCATTTTATGGAGCGGATGGATACCTTATATATTACTGGCAGCGGCTTGCGGTAATTTGTCCTGATAGGGAAGCAAAAGCATATAAGGTGGATTATAAAATAAAAAAAGTATATACATAGGACGACCAATAAAGATCAAATTAATTACTTGTAATCATTAATCATATTTAAGATTAAGTACTTCCAATTCAAGATAATAACAAGACATACTTCGCTACTTACTTTATTTATATGTTAATTCCATCCTCCTTTCCTTTTGATTGAATGAATTTATTACTTCTTCATAGAAACTATCAGTCTTTATTTCTTTAAGAAACTTTTCCTCAATCGTGATTAACGCTAAACTTGCAAGCCTTTCTTGTCCTTGTGCATTTCTGGTGAAGCTGTGTATTCTTTTCAAATGAGAGAAAGAACGCTCAACTGAGGCACTATTGGCTGGAAGAGTCAAGGTTAACTCACACAACTTTGTAAGTTGTTGCAGGGCTGCATCTAACTTGGCATTCCTTAAATAATAAAGTAATTCAGTCAATGGTTTTCCTTTCAAGTCAGCGTATAAAACAGAAAGTTCACTTTTCAAGCGATGAATATCAAAGTATTCTCCATAATTATCTTGCAATGACTTTAATGCTAATTCCGGAGATATTTTTTGTTCTCTTCCTGTTTCTTAGTGTTAAAAAGCTCAAGGAATGCTATGTTTTTCAAGCTTTGAAACCTAATTTCAATTTGGCCGCAAATTGCACCCAAAATTTCATAAAATAACTTTCTGTATGTTGTTTTAATGTCTTCTCCGGGATAATTTCTTATTCACTTAGTAGGGGGGGGGGAGTATAATCCATCGACTGCTGCCAAAATTCTCTCTCTTTTTTTTTGCAGAATAGTCACCATTTCATTTGTTTTATTCCTACAGTAGGATATGTCAAATATTCTATTCTGCAGAACATAAAATATAACATTCGTATATGAAAACATACTGGCAAATATATTCAACAAGAAATTGAATTCAAAATCTCTGAAATTCGATGAAAGTGCTTGGGCACTGGTAAAGGTTTCAGTATCTCAGTTGCCAAAATTACCGACAATATTTTGAAATAAGTCAATGAGTTCTTCCTTGTATCCCAAGACAGTTTCAAGAATGTAGTGATTATAATTCCAACGAGTCGGGGCCACTTTCGGGATTCTTTTCTCCAGGTCAGTATCTAAAAGGCGCACACGCTTTGTTGATTTCACAAAAAACAAAGAGAATGATTTAAGTTTTCCAAAGAATCTGTCACACTCCTTGATCTTCGTCAGAGATTGCGGCAACACTAAATTCAATCTATGTGCCATACAATGAATGAAAAGAGCTTTTGGATACTTATATCTAACTTTATTTTGGAGCCCATTCAGCTCATGCTTGGCCCATCATAGGTTTGCGCAACAAATTTTGAACCAATATTTAATTCATCAACTAAATTAAACACTATCTTGGATATACCTGCAGCTGTTCGATCTGCATTAACATTTGTACACCCCAGAAATATTTCACCATTTTTAGTCACATATCACATAACACCATAAAGCTGAGAAATGGTTCTTGCATCAGTAGTTTCATCTAAGATAAGAGCCACAAACGGAGAATCACTTATTTCAATTTTATTCAACAATACTTCCCATACACAATTAATGAGGTCATTTTGGATTCTATATGACAGGTCAGTAAAAACATTCGATTTATTCTCTAAATGTGATTTCAATAATGGATCATATTTCTTACACCAATTGCCTCGGTTATCAGACTAGTGATTCATTATTACCTCTAAATGCTAATTGTTGTTCACCAAAATAGCATATTACGTCGATTAATCTTTTTAAAATGTCTCTATTCCTCTTCATCTTTTCATTGTGCATTTGCACATTTATTTTATGTTGGCTATTTAGTTTGGAATTCATTCCGTGATTTTCCAAATCAAGCTAGGCCTAGAATTGAAAATATATGAATTGAAGAATTTTCATGTCTTTTAATTGCCTGATGCATATTACTTAAATCATGAAATCCACTCGAGTTCCATGTTCTTAAGTCACTGTTAAATAATAAACACGGCCACTGGAAAAGCTTCTGCAAGTTAGGACAAGCAGTTAACCAATATGTTCTGCGCGAGGTGCAGGTCATGAAAAAACAAGTTTCCAAATATCGCAAGAAAATTAACTATAAATTATTTTTTATAAAATAGCAATTACGAAACGCTAGCTTATCTATAAATTATTTATTTCGCTTAAATTGTTTAGTGATTTAAATAATTTAATATATGAACTATAAATAAGTTCCAATTTTCCGTGTATTTTGAAGTGTTGTTTGTTTGTTTATGAATTTCGCACAAAGCTGCACGAGTCCTATCTGCGATAGCCGTCCCTAATTTAGCAGTGTAAGAGTAGAGGGAAGGCAACTAGTCATCACCACCCACCGCCAACTTTTTACCGACGTATAGTGGGATTGACCGTAACATTATAACGCCCCCACAGCTGAAAGGGCGAGCATGTTTGGCGAGACGGGGATTCGAACCCGGGACTCTCAGATTACGAGTCGAGTGCCCTGACCACCTAGCCATGCCGGGCCGTATTTTGAAGTAAGATGAAGTGGTAAAAATTTTCCTTTATGCCATAGAAGAGGCCAATATAACAATCAAGATGTGTTTTTTTTAAAATACAAGTATGAATTTGAAAGTTGTTATTCATAAAATTACTCATGTAAGAAGCATTTTATGGTTTAAAGAACATATTATGTAACAAAATTTTTTTAGTTGGAAATAAAGCCTTTTCTAGTAGGAAAAAAAGCTAAAATCAACTCAAAAAAGGAAGCATTTTACAAACTGTAGTCCAGATTCTTCCCAGTAGTGCTTTCTCCCGTACAAGTTCATCACTGATTATGTACGGTACAGTAAAGCGCTTCCGTATGGTTGGTTGGTTGTTTTGAATTTCGCTCAAAGATACACGAGGGCTATTTGCACTACCCGTTCCTAATTTAGAAAAGT